AGAGTCTGAGAAAGAAGATTGCTATCTGAAGTCTTGCACTATATCTGCAGTACTACTAAGTCAGGTTCATTTTTACTTCATATGCTCTCAACTCTCTACTTTTAAGAGTATGCATGCATATTCTACCGCCAAAAGTAAATCCAAAAATAGAAATACAATCAGCATAGAGTATAAAGGAAGTGGCAAGTTGTAAAAGCCCAACTGTAAACCTGCCCTCAGTCTCCTACTGTCCAGGCCATGCTAACATGCAGCCAAGTCAAACAGCTTGGCTTCTGTCATCAAAGGGAACTGAGCTCAGTGGTACAGCAGGTATAGCACAAGGCCCTGGGGTTCAATTCCCAAAGAATAAACCAAAAACCCTGTGGAACAAATGGCTGCATAGCTTTCCCACACATCCAAAGAGTACTTCACTTCTCCGAAGAAATGCAGCAAGGGCAGGAGTCAGCTCCCAGACTAACAGGCAGATGGGATCAGCCTGAGCTATCACTATGTGAGTACCAAGACAGTAGTGCATGACAGTGAATGTGAGGACAGTGGAACTTCTTCAAAAAGGGACACAGCCTTTTGAATCCCCTCCCACTGTACCCTTTTCTTAAAATAAATAAACCGTTCTTAAATCTACACAGGATTCCAGTCTCGTGGCTGATGCCTATAATCTTAGCTACTTGGGAGGCTAAGAGCTAAGGACTGTGATTCAAAACCAGCCTTGGAGGTGGGGGGAGGGGGAGTCATGTGACTCTTAATCTCCAATTTGTATTTAAACAATAGAACAAAACCTGGCTGGGCCTGGTGGTTCACACCTAGCTACTCAGGAGGCTGAGATCTGAGAATGGCAGTTCAAAGCCAGCCCTAGCATAAAAGTTCCCGGGAACTCTTATCTCCAATAAACCACTCAGAAAACCGGAAGTGGTACTGTGGCTTAACTGGTAAGAGGGCTAGCCTTGAGCACAGAAGCTCAGAGGCAGGGCTGGGCCTGAGGTCAAGTCCCACGGCCACAAAAACAAAACCAACCTGGAGGTGCAGATTTAAGTGGTAGAATGAGCAAAAAAGCCAAGGAACAGAGCCCAGGCCCTGAATTCAAGTCCTAGCCTGCACACACACAATCCAACTCCCCCACAGACTTGAAATTTCTCTGTTGGCAGTCCATTATATCTCCCCTAAAAGACTGAAATCCACTAAGCAGGTAGAGTATGGTTAGGAGATGGTCTTGGCTTTTTTTTGTTTTTCTGTTGTTATTTTAGTGGAAGGGGATATCAACGAAAGCTACTCTGCATTCTCAGTGTTTCCATCTAAAACATGAGGCTGGTGGTCTTCAGAAACAAGATTAACTATCCAGCCCAAACCAGTCGCAGCAAAGGCAAAGGACAGATTTTCTTGTGCTTACAAAGGGACACCACCTTATTAAGAGAAAAAAAAGTCCACAGATGACATTTCACCATCAGGTGCGGGCAGCATGCCAAAGAAGGGCACTGGAAGGTAAACTTTGGTGCCAATGCTTGCTGTCTGCCTAGCTCAGTCTCTAAAATGTAGTATTCATTGTAGATGAGTGCCCCATTAAGGGTCCTCTCCGAAGATCGGACCACACTGCACCATTCTGTGTTGGGGGGGGGGGTGGGGAGGCACATGGGAGGGCCTATAAGTTTGGAAACCCTAGGCCAGAGCACAGCTTCAGGGCTTCAGCCCTGGCCTGCGTGGCCTGAGATCAAGTTGAACTTTGCCTTCCCAATAGAAGCGTCCAGATAGCAGGAGGCATTCACCGCATGGTGTTCTCAAACCCAAATCTAACGAGGACTGTGGGGTGACAGTCTAGGACTAAAGGCGTTGGAACTCAGAAAATAGTCCTGCTGGGTCAGAGACGGAAAAGGGTTGTGAAATCCCCAAACCTAGACCCTGCTTTCGAAGGCCGTGGGAAGGAGGCGCGGCCACTGCAGCCCAGGGCCCTGCACCCAGCACCGCGGGGCGGAGGCGCGCGTTCCCCTGGAGCGGGCCCTCAGGGGCCGGCGCCCAGGGCACCCGTGGCTGGGCGCGGCGCCAGCAGGATCCGCCAGGGCAGCTCCCGCACTTCCAGGAGTAACAAACCTTCCCAGCCCGGGAAAAACGAGGAGTGTGCGAGGGTCCCGGCCCCGCGGGGGGAAGCTGGCCCGCGGAGACGCACAGCCTCTCCGGCTCAACTTCAAAACTTCGGGCCGATCTGCCGTGCGTAGCCGGGGGCGGGGTGGGGGGTGGGAGGGAATACCTGGTTTGGTGATCAGCTCCTGCTTGCATAGCCCTGGACTCAGCCCGCCGCCGCCGCCATCCTGATGGCCTCCGGGAGCTGAAGCCTCCCCAGGAGGCGCACCCTTCCGCGGCTCCGCATCCCCGGGGTCTCCCCGCAGCAGCCACACGAAAAGCGCTCCCGCTAGACCTCCTCCGACCAGCAGGGCGGACCAGACGGCGCCCATGGCTGGGAAGCGGCGGCGGCGGCTGTAGTACACGGCCACTGGAACGAGGGCTCGGTTGACCCAGGCAGAGTCACGCCTGCCCGCCCTGCTCCAGCCTTTTATGGATGGGGCTAGGGACGCGCCAGGCCCCGCCTGCAGCCCCGCCTCCCTCCCCGCCCTCCAGGTACGGCCTCGGCTCGGGTGGGGCGGCCCGCGCTCAGCGTTCTCCCAATGGCTGGCAGCTGGGACGCGGGATGTCACGTCCCACTGGTGTCCTGCGCGTAAAAAGCCCAAGAACGCACAGCTGCCGCGCGTCCTGAACGCATCTGGGCACCTGCACCCATAGACCACCGCAGGCTGAGCGCTTCCAGAAACAATGGAGACAGCGCATTAGGATGGCAGTGAGGACAGCGCGCGCCGTGCCCCAACCTAGTGAAACCTGACCTAGTGGGAAAGTTCACTCCTTCGCCAGTTAGAGGCCCCTAGGCTCCCGAACCTCTACTCCCCGCCTTATAATATGAAAGGATCGGACCCAGCGCCCATTTTCCAGAACTGCCCATTATCCCAGCCCTGTCCAACCCTGGCTTCTTCCTCAGCCCCTTTTAGGGATGTGGTTGCTGCCAAATGCGCACCACCTGTCCCAACTGGATGCTGTCCAGGGATGGTGTTCTAGAGATTCATTTATTAAAATAGCCGCCTGTCATAAATCACTGCATTCCAAGTGTATGTATTTAGTTTGATCCTCACTAGAAGAGAGAACTTAATTCGCTTTGCTGGATTGATGCTTTACGCACCTTCTTCAAGTTGAAAGCCTTTCCCTTGAACTACATAGTCCCACATCCAACCGTTAGAGGCCACTGCTGGCAAATACCCACCCTGTCAGGGGCACATTGAAATGACGGGTTTTGTTTTTGCTTTTTTGTCTGTCGTGGGGCTTGAACTCTGGGCCTGGGTGCTGTCCCTGAGCTCTTCAGCTCAAGGCTGAAATGACTGTTCTTGTTGGCAGATTATCAAACCCAAGAGAGAGAGTCCTGGGATCCTCTAATTACTGGGAAAGGCTGAACTGGACTGGCCTTTAAAGTAGGAACAGTCAGGAGAAGCTGGGCCCTTTAACCTGTGGGCAGTGTCAGCACTGGATTGAATTGCAGAACACTAGGGAGGTATCCATGGACAGGTGGAGAATTTCTTGGTATAGAAAACATCTACCCAACCTCCAATTTTGGTGATCAGAAGTGAAGTTCTTCAAGTAACTGAGAAATCATATTTTCCCTTGGCTTCTTTCATGTCATTCCCAATGCCCTCACCCCATCATCCATGCTTCTGTGTTACCTCATCCAGATGACCACAGTAGCTGGCCCAGTTGCCCAGTGCCTCCACCTGCTCAGGCAACCATTTCAAGTTGCCCTCCTAAGCACAGCGCTGAGCTGCAGGTTAAATTCAACCCAGGTTTTTCTTTTTTTGTTTTGTTGGTCATGGGACTTGACTCTAGGCCTGGGCACTGTTGTCATCAGCTCTTCAGCTCAAGGCTAGCGCTCTACCACTTGAGCCACAGCGCCACTTCTGGTTTTCTGAGTAGTTTATTGGAGATAAGAGTCTCACAGACTTTCCTGCCCCGGCTGGCTTTGAACTGCGATCCTCAGATCTCAGCCTCCTGAGTAGCTAGGATTACA